CTCTCTCTCTCTCTCTCTCTCTCTCTCTCTCTCTCTCTCTCTCTCTCTCTCTCTCTCTCTCTCTCTCTCTCTCTTGTATCTCGCTCCTCTCCCTCTCAAGACTTGTACCGCTCAGCCTCTCCTCCTATTAATGCTCTTTCTCTGCCTCAAATCTACCCTGAATGCTGCTGCGATGTATGACTTCGAACCTTGGCGGCTATGGCCGCCGTCTTCCTCCTCCTACTAGTATAGGTATGGTTGACTAACTCTGCCAGGGCGCTTGCCCTTCGTCCAGGTCGCACAATCGCACAAGCAACTAGCAGCGCTTCCGCAACTTTGCGAATGAACAACTGGATTTGTCTGGCACTGTAGCAGCTAAATATAGTTGCAGCTCACTGTTCGTTCCTGCTTTGGACCGGTACCGGTCGCCCACGGCCTCCGCCTTGCCAAAATTGGTGTTTCCGGAAGTCTCCGGACTTTCTTGGGACGCTGCTGTGCTGCAAAATTGGACTTCGGGAGTTGACTTCCTCTGCGGTACTGACGGACTTCTACCTGACGGCGATGTTTCAGCACCCGAATTCTACCGACCTACTATGCTTCGACCTACGGACCCTACGGACTGACCTACTGGGACAACCTGGGACCGGGAACAGCTGGGGCCATGGGACCAGAGCTTTTGGGAACTGACTGCGTGAAATCCATTCATAAGCTACATTCTTCTCTCAATTACACCTCATGCTACCTATATGTCTTAGCACCACTCTCCACCCATGTCTAAGCACTGCAGGGGAACCTTACTCCACTGGGGTTGGGCCTAAGCGTCAGCGAGGGATGGAAGGTACGAGCCTCCATACCAAGACCAACCAGGTGGGGCGAGCCGACTATCTCAGCTGGTGAACCCACAGCGCGCCGCTGGAGGCCGTGGGGATTCAAATGGAAGTCGTGGGGAATCGAACCCACGACCTCCTGAATACCACTTTCGTGCTCTACCAACTGAGCTAGGCCACTGACCCAAAGTCTTGTCCATCTATTGTCCCCCCCTCTAGTGCAGTAGTCAAAGCTGGCACTCCCTCCCAGCTGCCTGCATTCTGCATTTGGCTCTCCTTTGTGGCTACAGTGCTCGCCTAACTGATTACCTTGCAATCCAGTGTTAAGATGGAGCTGAGTTCTATCTAGGGTTTGCAGCACTACCTGAATGGTGACCTGGAGTACCAATGCTGCTGAAGGAAGAAGTAGGAGGGGAGGAGGGGAGGATCTATCCGGCATATTATGCTCACTCTACCCAAGTCTTTCTGTTTGACACGCCCAAATATGGCTGTCTCAGCACATTTCTCCTTTCGATTGCTGTGCTGGGTCCTTGCGGCCCTCTCTCTCTCCCTCGCTCTCAC